GTAATATTATTCAATTTCAATGAGTAAATAGGATAGAAGAATACTTTAAGCACCAATGTGAAATTTCACCTAAACAACTCTCATGAAGGAAAGGAGAGAAAAAATAAATGCCCAATAGAGTGAGGGGGGAAAAAGTTAGAAACTAGAGATATAAACGACGTCGGTTATCTCACTCATGGGACAAGTGTTGACGGGGACAATTAGGATCTGACCTTAGGGTTTATGTCATCAAAGACGAGGGCATTTCAAACCCGATCCAACACAATCAAAGGCAAGTCATCTTCGAACAATTTATTGATTCGTCAATGTTTAATTCGGTTTACAGAGTTCTTCTTCATGGGATTGGTAGGTCCTCCATTTCACAAAACCCTAGGTCCCGTATTGTTCAACTCAGCTCATTTGCATCAGCAGCAGCAAACAAATCAAAACCCAGATCAAGAAATGAAAATCAAGAAAATTTTACTGTTAATTACCTTATCAACACATGTGGGTTTTCACCAGAAAAGGCTCTTTCAGCCTCAAAGTACGTTCATTTTGATTCTACAGAAAAACCCGATTTGGTTATTGCGTTGTTGAAGAGTCATGGTTTCACGACAGAGCAAATTGAACTTATGGTGAAAAGGTTCCCTTCAATCTTATTATGTGATCCTGAGAAGACTGTTTTGCCAAAAATCGAGTTTTTTCGGTCGTCAGGCATGTCGGAGAGGGACGTATTGAGTATTTTCTGTGGGACGCCTAACATTTTCAAGATGAGTTTGGAGAAACAAATAATACCATCTTATAATTATATAAAGAGTTTGTTCGAATCGAATGGGAAAAGCTTTGTTTCAATGAAACGCTTAGCGGAGATCTTCTGTTGTGATCTTCAATCTCGGTTGTTGCCTAATATCGAAGTTCTAAGAGAGGCGGGAGTCCCTGAATCGAAAATTGTGGTATTGCTGCAATACCAGCCTAGGGTACTGATGGTAGGAAGAGAGAGGTTCAGAAAGGTTGTCGAGGAAGTTAAGGAACTGGGTATTAGACCTTCGTGCTTGAGCTTTATTCTAGCAGTTCAGGCATTTAGGGCGATGAATAAATCGACTTGGGAGAAGAAGGTTGCGCTTTATAAGAAGTGGGGGTGGTCGGAAGACGAGATTATCTTGGCGTTCAAGAAGCATCCTTATTGCATGATGATTTCCGCAGATAAAATTACCGCGGTGATGGATTTTCTTATAAATAAGATGGGGTTTGAATCTTCCGTTGTGTTGCATAGGCCTGCACTACTTTCATATAGCTTAGAGAAAAGGATAATCCCAAGATGTTCTGTTTATAAAGTTTTGTTGGAGAACGGTTTGATCGATAAAGGCAAACTTTTGGTCTTGCTAGTGGAAAAAACAGAACAGAAGTTCTTACAGAGATTTGTGCAGCGCTACGAGGGGGAAGCTCCCGGACTCTTGAACCTGTATGAGAAAGAATTGGCTCTTTCTAGGAGTTAGAGAATGAAACTAATTTACTGGTTATGTTAACTGACATTGAAGACATTCTTTTTGAACATGACAAGTTGAAGTAGAAAGTTACTGATTTTGGTACTCGATGATTCATTTCATGTCTTCAAGCTCTCAATCTATAACTTGTTAAGCTCTTTTGCTGTTTAAATCTATTGTTGTTGTAATGAAAGGTTCTGCTCTTGCAATCTTTCTTGCTCACTCCATTGTAATCAAATTTATCTTACAAAGCTTGCAAGCACGTGAGATAATACATTATGTGAATAAGTTATGCCAACAACTGAACAGGGGAAGTCACAAGAAGTAACACCACCACGGTTGTGTTGTCTGTGATAATCACTGGTCATAGCGGTAACATAAAAGAAGTACTAATAAACTTATGCTCCTTTCATATTGAATCCGCGTCCAGATTCTTCTCCAAAGAACTATAAAGCTGCACTGCCATATAGTAACGAGCCCAGACCATATCAAAATTTTAATTTTATGTATTTATTTATTTTTTGGGGCATCTCGTTTATCTTCTGCTCCGCAAGACGTTCGTCATATTCGATCACAATATGGATGAATGATGGTGTGGAACTCTGAATTAGGATGCCCGGATGAGGTATAAGGTACCTGTGCAGCTGCTTTTGGGAATGTTGACATCTTATTCTTGGTTGATTCATCCATGAAAATGAGTTCTTCGCTGAAACCCAAGTAATCATCCGACAAATTTCTTCTCAATTCAATGTTTATACCATTAGTAGATACAGGAAAGATGAATGAGACTCAAATATGTAGCATCCATTTCATAGGGCTCGACCTACCCATCGTCTAAGACACCCATTTCATAGAGCCGCTGCAGGCTGATTCACTAGACGGCATTGATTGAACCATATTTTCTAACAATCAATTGGTGTCACTTAATTGCTACTTAGACTTGTGATGATCATTAGTATAAATAATACATATATACGTTCATATGTAGCCTTTCTATTCCCTTCTATTCCCAATCCAGTGATTATTCGAATAATGTTAGGGAGATCAATGAGTTCGAACATTTTCTAGTTGGATATAATTAGGCATGTCAACGAGCCGAGCCGGCTCGGACTTGGCTCGAGTAAAATGGCGCACACTTTTTTTCAGGCCAGAGCAGAGCCATGCTTGTGCTTGACAAAAAAAAAAAAAAAAAAAAAAAAAAAAAA